GCGTGGCCACGCCCACTCAGCCGCCCAGCACCGCCCGTGGCCCCGCCCCCAACGGACTCTCGCGGGGTGACGCGCGCGGCTCAGCCAGTCAGAGCCGCGAGTGCTTTTCAAACCAGCGGCGCGCGGACGGCGGCGGGCCCGCACCCGCAGCCGGGACCCAGACCGAGACCCGGCACCAACCGGGAACCAGGACCCCCAGACCGAGATACGGGCACCAGCCGGGAACCAGGACCCCCAGACCGAGACCCGGCACCAACCGGGAACCAGGACCGAGCCAGACTCCGGCCTGGTGGGTCGGGACCGAGACGGAGAGCTACCGCAGCTGTAGTCGAGCCCGGGAACACTACCAGGCCATGCAGCGCGCCAAGACTCCTGTCGTGAGTGCGGGCCGGAGCTGCGGTTCGGTCTGGGTGTTCGGTGGGGCGGCGGGGCCAGCCCCGGGGAGGGCCCCCGAGGGTGGCGGGTGCGGTGCGGTCCGCAGCGCTCCCGGTATCTGTGTGTGTGTGTGTGGTGGAGGGGAGCTGCCGCCGGTGACCCCCCGGTTCCCCCCAGGCGCAGAAGCGGCCCCGGCGCACCCCGCTGCAGCAGCTGCAGCTGGGCACCGACCGGACTGGCCTGACACCCCTGTTCCGCCGGCTGCGGCTCAAGGTCAGTGTGCGGAGGTAACGAACGGGACGGGGCTGGTAACGGAGAGGGCTGCGGTGTACCCGAACCGGGAATACAGTAGATGGTGCTGGCGCAATGGGAGAAGGGGCGTATTTCCTGCACTGGGGAAATGGGGAGACTGGGGCAAACGGCTGCGGGGTGCAGGGGGAAAGGGGAGGGCTGCCCTGACCTGCGTTTCCCCCTAAAATGTTCTGTAGGACAGTGACTGTGCCACCCCAGTGTCCTGTGCCCGGGGCTCCCGCAGCAGTGTCACCAAAGTGCCTTGCACCCCAGGATCCCCACGAAGTGCTACCCTGGGCCCTCCCAGCAGCACCACCCGAGTGCCTGGTGTCCTGGAGCCTTCCAGCAGGACCTCCACCTGTGACCTCAGGACTCCCATCCTTAAGTCTGGTGCCTCTGAGGCCCTCAGCAATGCCACCCTTATTCCTGGTGCCTTGGAGCCCCGCAGCAGCACCGTGCCAG